TAACCCAACGCCAACCAATTGTGTCCAATTTCCATGCGTTCGGTCGAAGCAGAGAGCCCGATTGATCCTCCTTCGTGGCTGGATTTTATTTGTTGGCCTAAATTATGCATCCACAGCCTGATTTTCTTTCACTTTATAGTCGAGACAACATTTCAGCTGCGTCTTTAAAATATATGACAATCAAATGATCACGGTGAATAATTAATGTTTTATGCATCCTTGATGTGAGTCAAGATAAACAATTGCTTACTTATTCTACCAAAATGACCAGAAATAAATTATTCTATCCTGGTGAATTATTCTCCCTTCAATCAAAATGGCACCCACCTTACGGGTGTAAATGGAATTATAGTTGACAAAAGATCATGAATTCAATGGGCCAACCTCATCGATTGGATCTATGCCTTCAAGTCAAAGGAAAACACATTCTTGTCAGCATTATTGATAAATTTTTATAATATCTTTAGTTGAAAAAACTAAAGTTACATTGATTAGGGAATTTATTTATTTATTTGAATGAATTATTAGAATATGTACAACTTTATAAATGCATTAACACCATAGAAATGATAGAAGCCGATGGGAACCATGAGACATATCGGTAACGAGAATGTCATTATTCTCTAAATTTTTAGATATCATATAATTCTCATCACTTTGGACAATAATACCACTAGAATAATCAATTTTTTTCATATAAATCATTCTCAATTATATTCTTCATGTTTAACTCAAAAAGTATAAACATAATAATAATACACGCAAAGTTTGATTTAGTAAAATATTAATAAATTTGAGTAGTTAAAATTATTTTATATATTTTAAAGTTTAATATATTGATCATTTACAATTTTCTGAAGTCAAAAAAATTAATACTATTGTAAAATATGTAATTATTTGATGTTTGGCGTCCACGTATAATTATTTCCAAGCATGATAGGAAAGATTACAGAGATAATATTAATATCCGGAAGTAAAGCACGATTCATAATGGTTCACAAAATGGAAAACAAACCGCTAACCATTCTTCGGCATCCCTTATAAGTCCTTGTAGTAGTAGCACCACAAAATAGGACTTCTCCGACCTCTCTTTCCTTGTCATCTATTTGCAGTGCCAAATATACAAATCAGATGCATCGTCAACGTTCACAAAGGCCACCGGTTTTTGTTTAAATTTCAATAGTAAATAAAAATAGATGCCGTCGTGCCGAGTACCCTATCCTTTCCGAAGAAACAGCTTCACTTCACCAACTCGGATACCCATCCAACATCAGGACCCGACCCGGTTGGTTCACGACGGCCAAGAGTATTTTCCTTGCTCAGCTTTGCATACATCCTTGCCCTCAACTCTCTCCCAGACTCCACTCTCGCCATCGCAGGTTCATCTTCGAAAGCGTTGCATTCCCAGAGGCTAGAACGAGTTGGAGTTGAAGGAGAGCTGCAAAAACCGGGTCGGACTGGGGAGCCACGAGGGGAACCGAATCCCGATCCCACTTGCAGTCCCCAGGCACAGGCACCACGCGTTTTGGCCTTACCGAGTTGCAGGCTTCTCGTAGAAGCATCAAGTTCACTCACCGAGTTAAAATGAGCCACTGGGTGACATAGGAGGTGAGTCAGGAGGTGAGTCAGAAGGTGGGGATAAAGGAGGCGAAGCCAAAATGGAAGTCGATGAAGTACCAACTAACTCCTGACGGTGGCGTATGGGCGAACCAACATGATCCTACCCATTTCCTCTGGGGCTCTGCTGTTGCAACACCCGAAGATGTTATGGCGTGTGAGCGAAAAAGCAAACCCTTCTTTTACAACATGTACTGTCCTTGCAAGGCTGAGTACGATAACGAGCAAGGTGGAGCCAACACTCGAAAACGTCGTGAGCCAACTCACGTGAATCGCCTCTTTTACAGTTTCCTTTGCGAAGGTCGGAGCAAGCACTTGCAGAGTAATGGAACTTTCTTGGGTACCTTCTTCGGGCCTTCTCACCCGGGTAGGCGTACAGATACTCGGTACAGTCATGTGACCTTCCACGCGCGCACCTCCTCACCTTGAACTCGTACATCCGGAAATGTTGGCATGAAAATGCATCGACAGGTAAGTCTGAATCCTCACTCGAAGACTCCGACTCATGGTCATTTGACGGTAGAAAACGGTGGAGAGATGCGAGGTAATCGACGGGACAAGGACTATCGAATGCATTGCTGCAGTTAAAGTTGACAAATGGAAAGTTAGCCGTCGGATAATTGGATAGGTCATCTGAAAGTATTTTTATCGTGCGATTTAATCGGATTGATTCTCCGATTATCATTTTTGGACATCGTTATTTTATTCTAAGGCCATCTCCGGCGCATCGCTTGAGTGGCATTCATCTCCACTTTGGAGATGATTCTATGCTCCAGCCCATCATCATTTTTATGTTGAATTGTGGCGTCGGGCTACTACAATTGGCGTTGCACTGTAGTTGCGCTACAATTTTTTCTTCTTTTGATTTTTGGTTTTTTTTATGATTTGAATGTTGAGGATTTTTTGATTTTTTTATTTGAATGTTGATGATTTTTTTATTCTGATTTTTGAATTTTTTCCTGATTTTAATATTGAGGATTTTTTTCTTCTGTTTTTTGGGTTTTTTATTATATGTAGAGATAATGATGGAGATGAATTACTGTTTCATCTTTAGAGTAGAGATAAATATGTTGTAGAGTAGATATGAGGGCTGAAGATGTCCTAACAAGAGCATCAGTTCTCTTGATTATAAACTGGTTCCTCAACCCGTAGTTGTTCCCACTTAATCATGGTTGAGTTAAAAAACTTACCACCTCTCTCCATATATGAAAATAGTACTCCTTTGGGGTGAAAAGTAAATAATTAAATAGCATATCTTTCTCAAACAACAATAATAATAATATGAATTAATATAGGAGAAAAAGTTAACATAGACGAAACATATTTTTTTTATTAATTTATGATGATTAAAAAGTGATATATATTAAAAGAAATTATTTAAAAATAAATATTTAAACACTCTTATAAATTATCTGTTCGAATTTATATGTATATTGTATGTATACACATTTAATTTTTATTATTTGAGTAATTATAGGTTCCTGAACCCCAAAAGTTTGAAAATTTAATATTTAATATTTTTTTTAAATAAATATCTCTAAAGAATTTATTTTTTTATTATATTTTAATTTTTTTATATAATTGTTGATTATTTTAATAAACGAGCTAAGCTTTAGTAATACAGTTGGCTGATGGGCCAAGGAAATTAGTGATTTGAGCCTTTGCGTGGATTTGGTAAAGTGCGTTACCATCGGATGATTCTATAGTTTGTCTTTCTGCGAGTTGAAAACTGTTTGCTTGTCCACTTGGGACCCCTCTTGATATTTTGAGTCGTTGTCTCTACGCTCAGAATAAACAGTATAAAATATCACGAGATCGACTCTATTTATTTAAATCGCTGTTCGATAAATCTTGAAAATAAATTTAAAATGAAATAAACCTAATGAAAAAGTGATATAAAAATTCTTTTAAACGTCTCAAAATAATTACTATTATTTATAATTACTCGGGTGTAATTGCATATAATTAATTAAATGTAACATATTTTATAACGATTATAATTGATAAATTTTTAAAAGTAAATGTAATTAAAATTAAAGTAATTTAATCACATTCTTCACTAATTTAAATTGATGAGGACGGAAACAATTAGGCATGTAATTTATCGTAAATTAAAGTAAATTAGGCATGTAATTGCTTTAGAATGGTTAAAACACTGTACTTAAAATTTAATACTCTCTTCGTCCCCATTAAATCTATTTATTGACTTTTCTTTGACAAATTTTTGAATTTTGACTCATTATAATTTAAATTTTATTTTTGATAAAAATATGAAAAATGTATTTTAAAAACCTTAGATCAAATAGTTTTCAAATATATATTTCATAAAATTTAATTATTTGAAATATTTAAAACAATTATAATTAAAGTTTAAAATTTTAATTTAAAAAAATTAATAATGAATAATGAGATATAGGAGTAAAATTATTTGTAACGAGACGTAACCGTATACAAGTAAAATTTTGAGATCTAACGGGAAAATATTTCGGTATATCGATACTATATTTTAGCGAGAAATGTTCTGATTTATGCGGTATTACGGTTTTCGTCGGCCAACAGATGGAAAACCGCAGTGAGCTGCAAGTAGCAAGGTCCAGGGGCGAAGATTCGGATTCGTGCATTGCAGCCACGCGTGAAGCTCGGAAGGTTCTTTGTTGCCTTCTTTGTACACGAGCGTGATACACATGCTTTACAATGTTCTTTAATTATAATTTTGTGTATTTTCTTATATTTTGCATGTTAGCAAATTTTTGACAAATCATTATTAAATTAGTCAACAATAATTATTTTTCACTCAATTTTTCTAAAGATCATTTTAATATTAACATTTTACTATTCTTTCAAAGTGTTATTTTAGACGATGTTTTATTTAAATAATGAGAAACCATTTGCTCTAGGAAAAAAGTGACAACTTGATGAATCATCATTTTTTTTACTCATTGTTAGTTTTGGATTAAGATGAACATTTATTCAAGTTGCTTCAACCTTTTATCTTCTGTTACGAAATTGCTTCAATCTGAAGAAGGCGTTTTAGAAGATAATGCGACAAAAATATAACCTATTCACTTGGATTTTTTTTAGCCTTCTTTTTTTTCTTTTATTGTGGTTTAGTATATTCCAAATCTGTAAACATGTTGACAAAGGTCTTGTTTTCCCGTAACCCAAACATTCTCAATGTACAGACCAACTATTTTATTAAATTTGCGCCTTATCATCGTAGTTAGATGAAAGAACTTTGTGTTCCTTTCGCCTTTCACAATCCAGTCCAATCTTGATTTCTGAAGTCAAAAGATTTCCTCCTGCTCCAACACTTGTTGATAGTCAGCTTCCAGGGTCTTCTCCAATTCTTGAAGGTAATTCGAATGAAAATAATTTATGGATCTCTAGATGCCTTGAAGTTGTTTCATCAGAATTTTCTTACGTTTGAATATGTTCCCAAAAGTACTCTCCTTGTATTCTATAAGAGCTCTCTTAGTCTCTTTCACCGCATCCACAAGAGAATTTTTCTTTTTATCCCATGCTGAACTAAAAATCCTGTTAAAATCATCATGTATCATCCAAGCCGCTTCGAATCTAAATGGTCGTTTCTCTTTATCGACTGGCAGTTCCAAATCCGTGTTAACCAGAATCGGGTTATGGTCAGAATACGTTCTAGTTAAGGTAACCACTCTTAAATTAGGAAAACAATCAACCAACTCAATATTGTGCAGTAACCTGTCAAGCCTTTCCTGAAGAGTGACTCTTCCCTGGGAGTGTCTAGTCCATGTAAACTTACTACAAACATAGCCAGCATCCATTAGATTGCACCTATTCCAGTGTTCGTGAAACTTGATGATACGGTCCATGCAATCGAAGCTGCTGCCAACACGTTCATCAAGTGAAGCAAAATCATTAAAATCACCCACAATCATCCAAGGTTGTAACATTGCTAAATTTGTTTGGGAAGAATCAATCGATCATATTTTCCGAAGGTGTAACATTGCTAAATTTGTTTGGGAAGAATTAAATGCTACGGAACAGGACAGTCGATTCACTTCGATGGATTTCGAGAATTGGCTGAAATCAAACTGTCTTTATAAGAAATTCGGGCTCGATGGATTAGAATGGGGACCTTTGTTCATGGCTACTATTTGGGGACTATGGAAGAGCAGGAATGAAATGATCTTTAAAGAAACATCAATGGATCCCTCTCAAGTGATTACCTATGCCAAACGGCTTGCAATGGATGTAGATAAAGCCCTGTTAAACTCACTTAGCAGGATGTTTAATGATCCTTATTGGGTTAAATGGAAAAAACCTCCTGAAGGGGGTTGGATTCTAAATACTGATGGTGTGTATAAAATGAATTCTGGCCTGGCGGCTGCAGGTGGTCTGATCCGAGATAGCAATGGGGACTGGAAAGCGGGATTCATGCTTAGACTAGGGAGGGTTAATAGCTCGCTCGCTGAAATTTGGGGGGCTCAGCAGGGTCTCTTGTTAGCGAAAAGTCTAGAGCTTAGAAACCTAATCCTAGAGATGGATGCAAAATGGATTATAAACCTCTTTAATGGAGACAAAATGGTTGACGCCTCTAGAACTGATTTGGTAAATGATTGTTTAGACATCCTTAAGGAAGGATGGGTGGTTGAAGTTCGGCACATCTGGCGTGAAGGAAACAAATGCGCCGATAAACTTGCGAATCTCGCACTTCTACAAGGAGATGATTCCGCTATTCTAAAGTTGCCTCCACCTGAAATTCAGGTGTTGTTGGGAGCGGATAAGAACGAGGAGCACCAGCTGAGACACTAGTTTACTGCTTTGTTCAAGTGTACAAAAAAAAGTATATTCCAAATCTATGTATCAAGTAGATAGTCTTTTTCATTATGAAACATGGATTAGGCTGCCTTATCACAAAACAATTGCCTAAACCAATGCACCCAATAAAATATAAATTAGCTGATCCTATTTCCATATGTAATGGGTGAGAGGGAGGTAAGGTAGTAGACTGCCTCCAACGCCAGGTTGAGAGCAACTTCCGTAGAAGACCTCCGGCAGTCAGAATTATGAATTGTCCACCGTGAGACTCGATCTCACGACCACAAGATTAAGAGTCTTGCGCTCTACCAACTGCATAAAAATGAATTACCTAAAACGATGTACCCAAGAAAATATGAAACAGTTGCCTAGTTAGAAAAAATGACGACTATAATCATTATTTTTGTTTTCTTTTTTTTCCTATATGTAAATATTATAATTAAGAAATAAGATTCAATTACATAGAATAAAACTTTTAACATTACATATGTTTAAGACCGTTGATGAGTGAAAATAGATGGATGGAGTTGACAATAAGAAATGATAAGATATTCATTAGAAAAAATACAAGGAGTTAATCTTATCCTTCTATTTTCACTCATCAAACAATATTAAATATGTATGAAACTGAAAAAATTACACTGTGTAAATAAATCCAAACTCGTATTATTTATTTATCATAAACGGATTATTTGAATTTTTATTCTCATTATATTAATATCATAATACATGAAAAAATTACTTTTTAATCATTATCTTTAAATTTAGCCAAATAACATATTTACTTAATCATATATTAAGACTCTCGTACCTTATATATCTCTTTGTTGCTAACAAAAAGAAGTGTGGTTTCGCGCTATGAATTCCGTGCCACCCGTTTAAGGTTTTATTTTTTTCAACTCTACCGGTGTTAGGTTGATTTTGGACAGATAGTAATAACAATACATGAGTCGTAGTTTTGGGTATTTGTTGGATAAAGAAAAAGAAGGCTGAAACTTCGACCGATATTGGGCCTTGACGCCAACATTTCATAAATTCCAAATGGCATAAGCTAGCTCGATCGCCCTTCAATATGTACAAGATATTTAACCAAATTCGACCAATAAAAATAACAATAACAATGATAATTGATAAAAGTAACGAATATAATATGTTCTTCAAACATCCATTTTTTGAGAATAAGAGTCGGTTAGGCTACAATAAGAAGTTTTAACATATTATTATGATTATTAGAATTAAATTTGATTTAGCTGAACTTAAATTTTACAATTTAATAGATTGAACTGATGGAATAAAATTAAGAATTAAATAAATTGTTTTAAAAAAGAAAAACGAGAAAATATTTTTGACTATCCAAATAGATAAATGGGTTTTGAATTATATATATTAATTATTGTTAAACTGATTTTTCAATTGATTGTTGAACTAATCAAATCCAATCAATCATTTAATCTATACCATCATAAATTCGATTTTTGAAACAGTGGATTATACATAAAAGCTTACAAAGGTCAGGATTTTATTTGGAATGATATTAGAGTGTGTAATAGATGATTAGAAGTCAGTTAGGTTGTTAGGAGTGGTTTTTGAATTAGTTAAAGGACCATCAACGTTTATTCATCATTCACTCAAACGACCGTTACATCACACCATCAAAAAGTTCATAATATGTAACCATCCAATCACGTACGAAGCTAATATACAATGCGGGTAATTCAATCAAATCCTGATGCTGCGCTTTGTTGTTTGCTCTACAAGTTACGCGCTTTTCAGTTACTCTAATTTCCCTCTGCGCGTAAACTTCACTTCCAATCATTTATTAATTCTTGGTTTAAGAGCGAAACCTTTTTTTATTGATCTCAAGAATTAGATTAGGTTTACGCCGTCGTTTTAATCATAACACTTTTGGCAGAAGCTTGCTTAAACGCTCTTTAAGAAAAAGTTTGTAGGAGCTGATTACATGTTCACATTTGACTGTATTCAAAAGTCAAAACTGAAAAGAAAAAAAACTACCCTAACCAATCAAGATTCCAGAAAGAACCAAGCTTTTGTAAGCTTAACCATTCTTTATATTTCCCTCGTCTTCTTCAACCCAAAGAGCAGAGAGTCAGAGGGAAAATAACTTTCTTTCTTTTTTGAATTCTTATAAATTTCGGAATGTTAGACAATCAAGATTTATAGCGAATAGTTGCAGAGTTAGTTTTTTCAAGGTGGTTTAGGGTTTCAAGTTTCAAGATTTATATCTTTCTTTTTTCAAGACTTACTCGAATACTGAATGTTGACCCTTCATTCTAATGAATTTCACCAACAACAAATGGCTCGATTACACTCTCGTTTTCTTCATTGCTTCACCTTCCTTTTCTACACTGCACTATGTTGAAAGTATTGTTAAAATGATTTTCAAGTTTCGCAACCAACTTTGAAAAAATGGTTTTCAAAGTTTGGTAATTTTTTCTTTGAAAAATAGTTTTTCAAATTTTGGTAGATGTTTGTTGAAAAATGATAATGGGATAATCACAATTAATCCCTAGGCTTTAGGGTATTTACAAGATTAAGTCCTTAGTTTCAACTATAAATACCCTAACTCATTTAGCTTCAAAACCATTCCAAAAATCATTTCTTTCTCCCAATACTAGAGAGCTTTCTTGTGAGCAGTGAGTGTTTTGTAAACACCTGTAAATTTTATCTCTTAGTAAAAGATCTGCAGCAGTCCGGAGACGTAAGCACAATTGGTTGAAATCCGTTATCAATTTCGGGTATTATTTTTCCGCTTTTATTTCGCATTCTCACTAATCTGGTTATAGGGAAATTACTTATACTCGGTTTATTTCCCAACAACTGGTATCAGAGTTTTTGGTTGTGAATTTTGTCAATTTTTGCGAGGTTACTATTCATTACTATTCACATGAATAGTGAATTTCGTGAATAGTAAAAATTTTGTCAGCGATACGAGTTTGTCGACGGAGGTGTTATAATACACGATGGTTCGTACAAATTGTCAGAAACGATCCGAAGAAGCCAGATTCGAGTGGGAGCGATGGCTGCAGACGAAGGGAAAGTGAAAATTGAAAAGTTCGATGATGCGGACTTTGGCTTTTGGAAGATGCAGATTGAAGATTTTCTGTACCAGAAAAATCTATATCAACTTCTATCAGGAAAACAACCAGAGGGCATGAAGAATGAAGACTGGGCTCTTCTCGACATGCAAGCTGTAACATCCTAAGTAACGGGTTAGTGACTAAATTGTGAAAATTCAGAATTTGGTGATTAAAGTAAAATAATTATATAGTTTAAAAATAATTGTTAGTAAATATGAAATGAATTTAAGGACAAAATGGTCATTTGCAAGGAAAAATAATAATTAAAAATTTTATGGGGTTATATTATAACCCACGTGGGGCTTGAGTAGGAAACAAATGTTTCCAGATTTCTCTCTTCTCTTCTTCCAAACGTGAAGACCCAAGTTTAAGGTAAGAATCTGAACCTTGGTAGTTTCTTTGATTTTTAGCTTGGAAATTGAAGTTTGGATGTTATATAAGCTAAAGGAAAGCTTATATGGCATTAAGACAACAAGATAAATGTTTTAGAGATAGATTTGGAAAAGGAGTTTTTAGATGAAATTTTGATATGGATGAATTTTTGAAGTTTGAATAAGATTTTTGACTTGTCAATAAGTTAATTAAGAAGTATGAAGTGATAGAATTAAAATTAGAACAAGTTGGAATTTGAGTAAGATTCTTAAATTCTATATGGATGATTAGTTTTTTTTTTAGTTTTAGAGGTATTGAATGGATAATAATTAGTTTAAGTAAGTGTATGAAAGCTAAGAGTATTAAAGGGAGTGAAATATGAATGTTTGAGCTGAAATGAGATGATTTTCGAGCTCAAAATAGGATTTCTGGGCTAGGGGAATCGGTACCCATTCAAGGGGAATCGATACCCCCTCAACGTATATGAATTTCCATAATGCTAGAGGGGAATCGATACCCCAGGGGGGAACCGATTCCCCCATATAAAAAAAGAGAAAGACTAAACTATTAATTCCTTAAATTGGTAGGCTATTAAAGATTAATTTCAAGACATAGACATCTGATAATCATCTTGAAAATTATGTTTATGTAGATACTGAGCC